CCCCCCCCCTCCTTTTCCTCTCACTCTTCTTTCCATCTCCTCTGCGCCGAAACTTCAATTCCCGCGCGGGTAGGGGCCCGGTCCACATTGTAATACACCCGACCCACTGCGTTCGGAAAACCAGTGACACTGCGAAAAGTCGCAGACTCGCACTTATGTGAGCTGTCACTGTGGAAAATATGTTTGTATCTGTACGATAAATTTTATAATTTGGCATTTACAAAACGAGTCGTACATGTACAAAGTCGCACTCGTGCTCGTTATTCGATTCTAAGTCGGTACGCAGGAATAGTAAATTCTACTATTTTAAATTTTAAGTGTACGACTTCTTCCATGGAAAATTTGTCTGTACCCGGTACGACAATTGAAAACAAAGGTACAATTTAGTGCTTTTTAAAGGTATTAAACTTTAATCCCCCGGGAAAGGCGCGCAAATTTTCAGAAAGGCAAGAAAATTTAGCACCTTTGGGGCATTTTACTGTCTTTCCAGTGATGCGAATCTTTTAGTGCCTCGTTCCTATTAGTTCGATAACTGTAGTTTGGGTTAAAATTAAAAAAAAAAAATCGTTATTTTTTTCATGTGTATTGTGTTGAGGGGGGTTGCTAGGGGAGGATGATCCCCGCCCATTCCATCCAGCCCTGCTCACACGTACGGAAAGCGATATTAATCTTGACGAAAATTTCGTTGAGTTGTTACCCGAATCGTGTTTATACGTTCTCGTGCGGGCCTGTCTGGCCGCCATCTTGCTTCTTTTTCCCCCTATTATCTTAAATGACGGCCATGGGGCCGCTTAGCCGCGGAGATGTGCTCTGGAAATGAAAGGAACACGCAGCAATCACAAGGCCCAGCCGGCGGCTATTCGTTTTCGTTGTTTCTTTCTCATTTTTATTTTATGTCGATACGTCGTAGACGCTAAATGAAATTCAATTTTTCCGAGGCAATCGAATTCCTTTTTTGTTTTTATTATTTGGAAGAGAAGGGGTTAATAGGTTTCAAAAACTTCTCAATCCTAGTTTTTCGGGAGAGTTACTCCTCATCAGTCGCACGATCATTTGTTTTCGTTTGTGACTAAGAAACAGTTGGCGGGAGGTTTATGTCTTTGTTTATTTCTTTCTCCTTTCTCCTACGCCCACCGCATGAACGAATACTAGGAAACCATAGACCGCGCAAACCGATGAGTTCCTGCAAAACTCATCTAGTTTGTACGGAGAATAATAAACATGAAACACACGCCACGACTCCTGGCACTGCAGTTCTCGCCCACAAAACTTCTACAACGCTATTGTATTGCACGTGAGAAAAAAAATTAAACACTCTGTCGGCTAACACCTCCTGATATAATGAAAGGTGTAACGACACGAGACCGTCGAGGGAGAAAAAATATATAACAACTTTGGAAACGGGCAAAATGGAAGGAGTAAGAACGGGGAAGGGGGGGAGGGGAAACAAGAATGAGGAAACGATGAAAATGCAGGTGGATCCTGGAAAGGCGTTGTGATTACGATCGTGGCTGACGTAGCCTGATCGCCCACTTTTGCGGTCGGGTCGGGCCCGGGTGAACCAGACGGTCGCGGCGTGGCGCGGCGTGTGGCGTCCATCTTGGGCCCGGCTGGGCTCGGCCCTGGGGCTCGTCTGTGGTCAACACGCCGCCCAACAGCAAGAGCCCAGGTGACAGGAAGTGGGCCACATGCGCTGGGCCAAAGGGGGCTGCCGCGTTGAGGCATTCCTGTTCCCGATTGGACAGTCGATTGGGGCGTAACGGACGCGTGCCCTTCCCCTTTTCCCTCTGAGATTATCATCAAGCTGTAGCAGTAAAGTATTATTTTTTGTGCATCGTGGATGTTCATTTTGCGTTGTTAAAAAAAGTAGCCTCGCACTAACGACTTCCGTTGTTGCCGATGCCACGCCACGCTGGTATCATGCCATGTTTTCCGGCGGCATGACACCGTAGGGCCTATAACCGTAACTGGAAAAGCTTACACTCTGAATGTAAAAAGTTTTCGTGCAACGTCCAGATCGGATGCAATGTTTTACTTGTTTGTAACCCTGGAAAAATTGTACCAACAATTTTGGAACAAAATTGTCCCTTTTAGATTTAGAGTGTACCAACCGGACAGGAAATGGGGAGGACGCTTTTTTTTTTTTGTCCCAAGAATTGGGGAAAATGTTACCATTTCATATGTTAGAAATTTGTCTTCAAGGCAAATGATAGTCTCGGAATGACTTCCTTTCTTGGAAAATAAAAATGTGTGTGTATGAAAACATGTTTACTTTCACGGCTTACAAGCTGTGTTCAGGTGCAGGTTGCGTGCTCGAGGCATGTGCGCCTGCCTGCGGTAGTAAAAACGTAGAAAGCAAAGGTTTCAGTCATCTGGGGCTGTCATTGGCTCTGGTACAAGTACTGCGAGGTACTGCAACATGCGCACTTTAGCTTGACTCATTCATTGAGTGTTCGTTGTCTCGCTGTCCTTATTAGTCCGTCAGGCGACGCCATATGGCCTCATTCTGACCTCGCGCCCGCCTTCTCTGTTTCCGCAGCGACCTTCCCGATGACCAGGCGGATCGGCCACCCGTACCAGAACCGGACGCCGCCCAAGAGGAAGAAGCCGCGCACGTCCTTCACGCGGCTGCAGATCGCCGAGCTGGAGAAGCGCTTCCACCGGCAGAAGTACCTCGCGTCCGCGGAGCGGGCCTCGCTCGCCAAGACGCTCAAGATGACCGACGCCCAGGTCAAGACGTGGTTCCAGAACCGGAGAACAAAGTGGAGGTAAGGACCCTGCCGAGCAACGGCGTTGTGTATGCATAATGAAGCACTGGTCCTCCAGTCCTGCCTCGAGCGCGGCCCCGGCGCGTTCCCATGCAAATCGCGCCATTATTCCCCCCAGATTTGTATCATTACTCGGCAGCACTCGGCAGCAGTTCGCGCTCATTTCCTCCCCGGAGCGACGCCTGCCTTTAAGCGGCCCCGTATTTTCCCTCCGATCCTGCCTGCTGCTCTTGGTCTGCGCGGGGCACCGGCGGCGGCCCGACACCTTCAGCCTTCAGCTGAAATGCACAATAAAACGGCCACCCCCTCCACCTCCACCGAGCCTCCTGCCTGCTGCCGACTGGGATCGAATCATGATTAAATTACTACTCAGAGTCGGCCAAGGCAAAGATGTGTTGTCGCGATAGGAACTATAGCGGCGCCCCGTGGAATCCAATCTCCCCGCGGAGCAGCCCACGGCGCACCGGGACCGCGTCCATTACCGCGAGCAAATTAAAACGGCCACCTCGAGGCGTTCCGCCCGCCCTGCCCCCGCCCTGCTGCGTCAGGTGATGGAGCACCGCCATTGGCTCGTGCTGCGGCCACCGCTGCTGCTGGGGGGAGGGTTGTAGTACCCTGCGGCACCCCAGCCGCGCCGCCACCAACTGGCGCCCGACAGCTGTTGTGTTGGGCCGCTCACACTGCCAGAATCCGCACTACCGTAGTCTACATTTTCTCGCAACCAAAAACAATTTCAAAAATAACAATAATAATGAAAATAAAAATACGGTAGTCTGGACTGCCGAGGTGGAGACATTTTTATTGGGAGCGTTGTTCGTCGCTGCGTGGCTCTGTGGACTTTACGCCCGAAGGAGTCCCTAAGAGTCCCCAGAAGAGCCCCGCAGGGGGAGGCCGTTTGTGGCGGGGGTGTTGGGGCGCGGGGCTGTGGTGACGGCCGCGGGACAC